GCTTTCTTGATGGTATGAGGTCCCCCTGTCTCTCTGCTCACTTCTGTCTTTTATATCTCAAGAGATTGCCTCAGGACACAATCCAGTCTTGTAGATCCAGTCCTGCCTTACTAACACAACTGCCACCTATCTTCCATCACTAACATCATAGAGGCAGGATTTACAACAAATAGGAAAATCACACAGTACCAGGAATCATGGCCTAGCCAAATTCATACACACATTTTTAGGGGGACATAATTCAAACCATGACAATGGTATGTTCAATATTCTTCGCCAGCACTGTAATTCAAAGGCATCACTTCTTCGGTCTTCCTTATTCACTGTCCAGGTTTTGAATGCATATAAGGTGATTGAAAATACCATGGCTTGGGTCAGGTGCACCTTAGTCCTCAAAGTGATACCTTTGCTTTTGAACACTTTAAAGAGGTCTTTTGCAGCAGATTTGCCCAATGCAATTTTCAGAAGTAGATTGCTAGCCTTTCTTCCTAATCTGTCTTAGTCTGGAAGCTCCACTGAATCCTGTCCATCAGGTGACCCCTGCTGGTATTTGAAATACCTGTGGCATAACTTCCAGCATCATGTTGTTGTTGTTAGGTGCCTTCGAGTCAGTTCCAACTCATAGTGATCCCACGTGCAACAGAACGAAACACTGCCTGGTCCTGCACCATCCTCACAATCATTGTTATGCTTGTGTCCATTGTTGCAGCCTCTAGCATCATAGCAACATATAAATCACCACAGTACAACAAACTGGCAGATGAGTGGTGGGGGCTGGTAGAATGATGCTCTGGTTTCTTCTCAATGACTCAGTGACTTTGTTGTTGACTAAGCACATGTGGTGAGTGATCATCTGATAATGACCTGCTGCTCTGAGAGACCATATTCACAGTTGCAGGTGATTTCGAGGCTTGTTGCCTCTGCATCCTCCCAGCAAGGCAGTCTCTACTGGAGAGATCTCTCCATCACTGATTCTGTCTGGTGTGAAATGGTTTGAGGAGGAAACTGGTTGAGTGTTCTAAGCCTGACAACTGCAGCACTGTCCCATGTCCAAAGGGAGGTCACTGCAGTTTATGCCAAACAATGGGGGCGGTCCAGGAGAAATCTAGCTCTTTTCTCAAAGGTGGTCACACACTTCATGCTAAGTAATAAAGACATGGTGAAAGTTCCAAATAAATTCTTAAGTCAGCTGTACTGTGAAGGAGAATCTACATTTAAAATCTTATGTGTTAGAATGGTGCTGTTCAATAAAAATATCATGCTAGCCACATGAGTAATTTTAAATTTTCTAGTAGCCACATTAAAAAAGTAAAAAGAAACAAGTGAGTTAATTTTCATATTAAATTAACCCAATATAGCCAAAACATTATCATTTCAACATGTAATCAATAAAAATAATTATTTATGAGATGTTTTATATTCTTTTTTCACACTAAGTCTTGATTGAGAGAGTACCTTGAGACTCAAGCTCCATTCCAGGCCCAGGATAAGCTTTTCATAAGAACAAAATGAAAGTGTGCAGTCCAGCCCTTAGAGGTTAGAGGCACCCCTGGGCCCAGCCCTGACCTCCAGAGATGCTGTTCAGGACCCTGAGTTTTATCATAGAATCCGCCTGTTGTGCCAGTGTTCTGCAGATGCTTGCCAAAAGGAACTCTGGAGGTTCAAGCCCCCTCAGGTATAGAATGCCTGTCTTAGTTATCTAGTGCTGCTATAACAAAAATATGACAAGTGGATGGCTTTAACAAACAGAAATTTATTCTCTCACAGTTGAGGCTAGAGTCTGAATTTAGGTGTTGGCTCTAAGGGAAGGCTTTCTCCATCAGCTTGGAGGAAGGTCCTTCTCTCTTCTGAGATTTTGCTCCTGGACAATCTTAATGTGGCTTGGCATCTATCTTACCCAATCTCTCCTTGCTGGTGTGCTTGTTCAATCTCTTTTATATCTCAAAACATAACACAACAAAGACAACCCATTCCCAAATGGGATTATAACCACAGGCATAGAGGTTAGGATTTACAACACATATTTTTGGGGGACACAATTCAATCCATAACAGTGCCCAAGGCTTCAGCTCCCCAGACTTCTTAGGCTGAAGGGAAACTTTATTCTTAGGGACCCTGGATCCCTCTAAAGGTTGTCCGTTGATCAGGGGCAATATTTTCTGGCCACTCCAAGTGCTGAGTTGTGGCCTCACTGAATTTCTTAAGCCCTAAACATAATCACATATGTGTTTTCATTCTGTCCTCTCAACAATCCCATGAGATGAGCCGGGATTCCTGTTTTTTTAGATGAAGAAACTGAGCGTCACAGAGTTAGAAAATGGAGACCTGGGACTAGAATCTAGAATACACACACACACATGAACACACACACACACACACACACACACACACACACACACACACACTGTGGAGAGCACCTCCAGAGAAACACATCCACCTCAGTGGACATCACTCATTAATACCTATGATGATTCATTGAGCACTTACTGTGTACTCTGTGTTGTTGTCCCTAATTGGCAAGAGAATAGTTCCAAGCAGCCATTGAGGGCATTCCCCAAGTCAGCAGCTTTTTCTAACCTTCTGTTTCTCTTTAGTTGGGTAGCTATATCCTCCTAGGTCCTATTTAGAGCACCTAAGAGGTTATTCACTCAGACTAATAGTGGTGAGGTCTGTGCAAAAACTAAGTACCAAATATTGGCACTCCTCTGGCCATGTCAGAGCCAGCTGTAATTAAAAACAATTTTCCCAGAACCAGGTTGACATCAATCACAGAGGCTGTAAACAGAGATGCCCTGGCCTGATGAAAGACTTTATGAAATGAAGTTGTTAAATGAAAGAGTCACGTTAAACTCAGCTGCATTAAGAATACAGACAGAGCAAAAACATCAAAGTTTACTAGATGGAAAAAAAATAAAGGAGAGGGAGAAATACCACATTTTTAACTTCTAAGAGATACAACAAAGCCAAAAGACATAAATTATTATCTAAGAAAGGACACTTGATAATGACTTTTTAATTGATTTGAAACAGAGGATCTCTTACTAGTTACTTTGGTATCCCACTTTGAACTTGCACTTATTTTAATTTATGGACGTGATGAACTAATTGAATCCAATAAACATGGATATCTTTAGCTTCCAGATGCTCCTCTGGGCAGACAGTCATTGTGTGCTGGCAACACACAGCAGTCAGAGGACGATGGCACAGTCATCCCAACACTGCGCCACGTGTTTAACATCTAGAGTACCAAACAAACCTTTGAAAAGGCCGTCTCACCAGTTACTACCCGAAAAATGGGTAGATCTGGCCCTTTTTGTATACCA